AGCAAGATAATAAGGGAATACTATTAACTTTAGGCTCATAAATTGAACAGTTTAGAGAAATTGGAATAACTTTTAAAAAGCACTAACTTTTAAAGATCAACCAAGACAAAACAGACAACCTGAATGATCTTATAATCACTAAAGAAAGTGAATTTTTAATTTAAAAGGAAATCTCCAGGGCCATACATTTTCACTGGAGAATAGCCACAAACATTTAAATAAGAATTAGCAACACGGCCATGCATGGTAGTTCATGTCTGCAATCCTAGCACTTGGGAGGCTGAGGCAGGAAGATGGTGGATTTGAGGCTAGCCTCAGATACACAGTGAGACCACGCTGCCTCCAAAAATCAAAAAAAGAATTAACACCAATTTTCCAGTTTATTCCATCAAATAGAAGACACAAGAATATAACCATGATTCCAAAACTAGACTAAGACAGTACAAAAAACAAAAATCACAAATACCTCTCCTGAACTTTGATGTAAAAAATCCCAATAATAATACCAAATCAAATTCTACAATGCACAAAAAAAGACCCACCACTCAGACTTTCTGAATCATGTGATTTCCATGGCCCTCATCCCACTCCAAACGCAGGTGGACTACCAAAACTGAGCCAAGATAAAATAGATGACCTACAGTGATCTCTAACAAGCAAACATTGAAGCCGTAATAAAGTCTTCCAACAAAGAAAAGTCTAGGAACAGACAGAGTCAATGCTAAATTCTACCAGATCTTTAAAGAAAACTAACACCACTATTCCTCAAACTATTCCTGCAAATAAAAAGGAAAGGAACATTAATGAACTTGTTCTATGAAGCCAGTATTACTTTGATACCAAAACTGAGTAAGAACATAACAAAAAAAATGAAAATTACAAATTTCCTTTATGAACATAGATACAAACCAAATACAGCAACACATGTAAAAGATCATACACTATGATCAAGTTGATTTGATTTCAGTATGCAAGAATAGTTCACAGCATGCAAATCAATAAACGCTAAAACATCATATAAACAGTATGCAAGTATAGTTCACAGCATGCAAATCAATAAACACTAAAACATCATATAAACAGTATAAAGGACAAAAAAACTTCACACAATCATCTCAATAGATGCAGAAAAAGCCTTTGACAAGATTCAACTTCCTTCCATTAAAAGCACTCAAGAAACTGGGCAGAGAAGAATGTATCTTTACATAATAAAGGCTGTGTATGATAAACCTATAGCCAATATTGTAACGGGGAAAAACTGAAACTATTTCCTCCAAAATCAGGAATGAGATAAAGGTGTTCACTCTCTCCATTTTTATTCAATACAGTGCATGAATTCTTGGCAAGAAAAAGAAATAACAAGGATTCAAAAAGGGAAGAAAAAAGTTAAATTATCCCTATTTGCAGCTGATATGAACCTATACTTAAATATCCTAAAAACTCTACCAAAAAACTCTGGTCTGATAAACACTTTTGGCAAAGTAGGATACAAAATCAACATGCAAATAATCCATAGCTTTTCTACACCAGTAATAAACAGGGTGAAAAAGAAATCAGGAAAACAATCCCATTCATAATAGCCTCAAAAAATTAAATACTTAAGAATAAACCTAACTAAGGAGGTAAAAGACCTCTACAATGAAAACTATATGACCTTGAAGATAGAAACTAAAGAAGACAGTAGATGCTGGAAAGACTTCCCATACTCATGGAGGGATAGAATTAATATTGTAAAAGTGGCTATACTACTGAAAAAATGTACAGATTCCCCACCAAAATTCCAATGTTATTTTTCATAGAAAAACAAAAATCAATTGTAAAATCCATTTGAAAACACAAAAGATCCCAAATAGCCAGAGCAATCTTGAGCAAAAAGAGAAATGCTGCAGGTATCACAGTATCTGACATCAACTTATACTACAGAGTCATAGTAACAAAAACAGCATGGTACTGGCACAAAAAACCACACACATGGAATAGAAGATCCAGAAATAAGCCAACACAGCTGCAGCTATCTGATTTTCAACAAAGGTGCCAAAAACCTACATTGGAGAAAAGAAAGCTTCTTCAACAAATGGTGTTGGGAAAACTGGATATCCATATGTAGAAGACTGAAACTAGACCCTTACCTCTAACCCTGTACAAAAATGAATATAAAAGGAAATGAATCAAGGATCTACATGTAAGATCTTAAACTCTGAAACTACTAGAGAAAAACATAGGGAAGACCCCTAAAGATACAGGTACGCCTTTCTGAGTAGGGTTCCAACTGCTCAGGAAACAACTAACAGTAACAATCAATAAAAGCAAAGGAAACATTTCAACTACCAGAATCAAGAGACAGCCTACAGAAGGGGAGAAAATCTTTGCCTGCTATTAACTGCATAAAGGGTTAATATATAGAATACATAAATAAGTGAAGAGACATACCATCTTCATAGACTAGAAGAAACACAGTAAAGATTTCAGTTCTGTCTAAAATTAATCTATAGTTTGATATAATACCTACCATTATGTCATTGGAAATTTTTTTGCAATATTGACAAATTTATGCCAACATTGTTATATAAAGGACTAATAACAGAAGAGCTAAATCAATTTTGAAAAGAAAAAATAATGTGGGAGAAAATCACTCTATTCAGTATAACGCTTACTATACTGTACATATACAGTAATCAAGACAGTTGGCAGAGAGGTAGAAACATATATCAATGCACAAAAGGAACCCCAAAAGAAACCCACAGAAATATGTCTCTGTTGATTTCTGACAAAAGTGCACAAAAGATTTCAGCAAATGGTGCTAGATGAAGTGGACATTAATAGGCAAAAAACTAAAACAATTTCAAATTAGGTATCACATAGTAAATAAAAATAAACTCAAAACTGATCACATATTAAATTTAGTGAAAATTAAAAGCTTTGGTTCTATGAAAGGCAAGCTACAGACCAGAGAAAAAAAAGTGTTTTGAAACTACAGATCCAACAAAGGATTTGTATCTAGAACATAAAAAAAAACAAAACAACAACAAAAAACCTCTCAAAACTCACAACAAAAATTCTAGTAAGAAAGAGCCAAAGGGAATGAATAGGTATTTCACTACAGATACAGATGGAAATAAGGACATCAAATAATGTCTGACATCATTGGCCAGTAGAGAAACACACATTAAAACCAGAATGAGATATTGGTAAACACTAGAATTGCTAAAATAAGAATCATACAAAGTTGTTAAGCAGTATGAAGAGAACCTAGATTTCTTGCATTGCTGGTAGCGATATAAACTGGTACATTTCTGGAAAGCAGTCCAGCACTTTGTTATAAAACTAAACATGAATTTATGACACAATATTTCAAAGAAATGAAAATTTTACTGCCATACAAAAACCTATTACTTGAATAGCAGTTTCATGTATAACTGCCAAAAACTGGAACACCACAATATTTTTGCAACAAATGGATGGCTAAACAAACTGTGGTACCTCTGAGGTAGCATGTGTAATACCAGTAAGCAATAAAATGGAAGAAACTACAAAACCATTCAACAACCTTGATTGATCTAAAGAGAATTATGCTGAGTGAAAAAAGCCAATCTCAAAAAGTTACATATTATATGATCTCATTTATATGGCTTTCTTGAAATGATAAAATTCAAGAGATGGAGAGCATACTAGTGTTAAATGTGGGATTAGGGATGGGGGACAGGAAAGAAAGTAGCTGTATCCTTTAAAAGACAGTATGAGTGGTCCTTAGAACTGTTTGGAATCTTACACGAATTCATACATGTGGTTAAACTGCAGAGAAATAAGTACATACAGAATGAGTACATGTAAAATTGGTGATCTCTGTATATCACTGATGAATTCTACTGATGTCAATTTCCCACTTGTGACCATATTGTACTGTGATTGCTGAAAATATACTATTTGTGGAAACTGAATAAAGGGTACCTGAGTGCTCTATTATTATTTCTAACAACTATAAGTGAATCTACAATTATCTCAAAATAAAAATTGACTTGGTTTTGGTTTTTTTTGGGCAGTACCAGGGCTTGAACTCTAGGCCTCATGCTTGGTAGGCAGGCACCCTACCACTTGAGCCACTCTATAAGCCCTGGTTTCATTTTTTTAAATGAAGTGAAAAAAGGTATTATTTTGTGACTTTATTTTTTTCTTTGAGCCCTGAATTAGAATAAAATAAATGTTCATGAGTCTGATACTGATTAAAAAAATAAATAATGAAATACCAAAATAAAAAAAACTAGAGAAGTTGATTTTTGCTACTGTTGTTGGTGGGACTGGGGTTTAACTTAGAGCTTCATGCTTGCCAAGCATGTTCCCCACCACCTGAACCACACCACTAGTATATTCTGCTCTGGTTATTTTGGAGATGGGGGTTTCATAAACTATTTGTTCAGTCTGACCTCAAATCACAATCCTCTCAATCTCAGCCTCACAAGTATCTAGGATTATAGGGGTGAGACACCAACGCCTGGCTAACAGCTCAGTTTTAAATATGAATTCCAATTAATAAATGTAAATCAAATATTGAAAATATAAAGTAACCATTATAATATCTCTGTAGTAATTGTTGAGATAAATTTCTCAAATGGATACTTATTGTCATGGGTAATAATTTTAGAGCAAACTATAGTTGAATAGTTCCAATGAATATTCCCCAAAATATTCACTATGGTTTAGATAAGCATCCCCCAAACTCCCAGTTGTTAAAGACTCAGTCCCCAGTCCATGGTATTACTGGGAGGTTGTGGAACCTTTAAAGGGTGAGACCTAGTGGGAGGAAGTTAGGTCACTGAGGTTGAACCCTTCATGAGGTGTTAGTTTGAGCAATGCAAAAAGTGTTTTTTTTAACTCTTAAAGTCTTTGGTCCTGTAAGAGTAAGATCAATGATATAATAACATCAAAACATATTAGCAATTTTCTGTTCTCAAAGAGTTGTCTCTCTTATACTATAATGCATTTCATATTAGGCTTTATCTCACCTGGCCAGCTCTTTAATCAAGTTTGCAATGCGTCTTTTGTCTTCAAGACATAAATCCTTCAATGATGCACTCTTTGTTCCTCCCTTGTAGAAATTCTAAAACAAAAACATTTCTGGTTAAATTTTTCTAAAAATAATTTTTAAGCTTTTCTGAGAAACCTATTAAAACAAGCACAGGCTAAGCATGGTGCTCACTCCTATAATCCCAGCAACTCAGCAGGTGGAAATCAAGAGGAATGCTGTTTAAGGCCAGCCTGAGCAAAATTTAGTTAAAAATCTCAACAAAGAAACAAGGCATGGTGGTTCATGCCTGCAATCCCAGTTATACAGAAGGCAGAGGTAGGAGGATCTCAGGTTGAGGATGACTGGGGCAAAAACTGCAAGCAAGAACCTATCTGAAAAATAGCTAAAGCAAACAGGGCTAGGGGTTTGACTCAAATGGTAGAGCATTTGCCAAGCAAGTACAAGACCCTGAGTTCAAACACATGTACCACCAAAAATAAATAAACAAAATAAAGAAAAATGAAATTTATTTCCTATTTTTTATTTGGTAAATATTATCTACTAGCTTCACTTAAACCTACTGTGAACTCAAAACAGCCTAAGGAACAGATAATGAATCAGAATATTTATAGAATTTACACAGAAATGCACAGAGAAAGAACTAAAAGCAGAAGATACTCTTGCTGAAGTACTAGAGAGTATTAGGAAAACAACTTTCCCTTGGTGAATGTCATTAGGCATGAGTACCTAATGGAAGATACTAAGAACCTTCCTTACACCATAGTCCCTAGGCTGTTTAAGGAAAAAAGGTTCGGACTTTTTGCTACCATTTCCTGTGTGGGGAACAGGAAATGTTTCTCTCTTTCTCACCCCTGGCCCTGTTGCTCTCACTCTAGAGACAACCCGCCTTCAGTCTGTCGAAAGTGTATTCCTTTCCTAATAAACTTTACTATTACTTTCACTGAAAAAAAAAAAAAAAGGAAAAAAGATTCTTGGCATTTGTGGAACTAAGAAAGTAAATTAATCCAATTATTCAGGTAGCCAAAAATAACCAAAGACTCTTAAAATGAGTCCTGGAAAGATAGGGTAGGAAAAGGGAATAGGAAAAAAAAAAACTGGAAAATAAAATGAATGAGTTTGATTTTAGGTATGCTCAATTTAAGATGCCAGCAAGAAATTCATGTGGAAACATTTTGGCAAGAAGTTGGAAAGGTAGCTCTGTTTCTCAAGTCAGAGAAAATATAAAGGGATGGTATTACAGATGATGTTTATTTAGGTTTTTATTATTTCCTCTATACTTTTCCAGGTTTCAAATTTCTCTAATAATGATACAGTGAAAATTAAGAAAAAAATTTAGTTTTTAAAAATCCAAGATATTTGGTATTTAATTTTAGTTAGCCTATTTTTATTTTTATTTTTTTTTATTATTCATATGTGCATACAAGGCTTGGGTCCTTTTCCCCCCTGCCCCCACCCCCTCCCTTACCACCCACTCCACACCCTCCCTCTCCCCCCCACCCCCTCAATACCCAGCAGAAACTATTTTGCCCTTATTTCTAATTTTGTTGTAGAGAGAGTATAAGCAATAATAGGAAGGAACAAGGGTTTTTGCTGGTTGAGATAAGGATAGCTATACAGGGCATTGACTCACATTGATTTCCTGTGTGTGTGTGTTACCTTCTAGGTTAATTCTTTTTGATCTAACCTTTTCTCTAGTTCCTGGTCCCCTTTTCCTATTGGCCTCAGTTGCTTTTAAGGTATCTGCTTTAGTTTCTCTGCGTTAAGGGCAACAAATGCTAGCTAATTTTTTAGGTGTCTTACCTATCCTCACCCCTCCCTTGTGTGCTCTTGCTTTTATCATGTGCTCAAAGTCCAATCCCATTGTTGTGTTTGCCCTTGATCTAATGTCCACATATGAGGGAGAACATATGATTTTTGGTCTTTTGGGCCAGGCTTAGTTAGCCTATTTTTAAATAAGTTTAAGCTGTAATCTAAAAGGACAAGAGGAAATACAGAAGCATGTAATACTGTTGAAGGAAAAAAGAAAAAACATTTGAGGAAAAATTTAGGGTCAATAGTGCTAATGATGGAAAAAGTCCAAGTGGGAAAGAATTCACTAGATTTGGCAATAGAAGAACTTACTGATAGCCATTTCAATAGTGATGTGATGAGACAAAGATCAACAAGAGAAACTCCTACACATAGGCAAGAATTTGGTAGCCATTGTGTTTAACAGAAACACCTGAAAACACAATGTCTATTATCCATAGAATAGCAAAACTATGGCATATTTATACAATAGAATTCTATAGGTTATTGTTATGCTACTGACTTTTATCAATATAAATGCATTCTTCCATGTTCTGCTTTATGATGCTGAAGCTAAGACTCTGAAAACCTCATTTCTCCTTTGCTACCTGGCATTCTGATAAACTGCTGATACAAAGAACCAGATGGAGACCAGAGGTTGTTAAAGGAAGAAAGGACATAGCCCTTCTAATTTGTTTGCTGCTACTGTCAGTGTCATCCTTGCCTCAATTTCTCACTCTTAGAAGAGCAGCTGGTTTCAGTTTACAATTTTTCCAGTCCTTGCAGAACTAGCAAGGACTGGTTTTGGGATAGCAAAACCAGTCATCAGAAGTCCAAATTCCAGTATTAGGGAGCCCTTCATCAAGTTTCTACATCTTAATAATTCCAACTTGTTCTGCCTGTTCATCCAGCCATAGAAGTGGTGGCTGTTTTGTGTAGTTACTACCTTCATGACACTTTACTGTTCCCTTATTACCTTTTTCAGTTTTCCAGTTCCTACTTACTCTTTATACACAGCATAAAGAAATCTCATAAACATACTATGGAAGCACAAAACTTAATTATATAATACACATGGCATGAGCATAGTTCCAAGCATATATAAAACAACACATTGTTTAAAACCAAAAATATATTTACTTTATTTAAGACAGGGCTTGGTAAACTATAGCTGCAAGCCAAATCTGCCCCACTGCCTGATTTTACAATTGAAAGTTTATTAAAAACATAACTAGGCTCATTCGTTTACACATTTCCTATGGCTCTTTTCATGCTACCTGAAAAGAGTAAAGTTGAGTAGTTGGGACAGCTCTTTCAGCTAGCAAACACAAACGAGTTTACTATCTGGCCTTTTAACTGATACAGAAAAGCAAGAGAAAGATAATACATAAAATTCAGGGTAGGGATGACCAAAGATATAAAGGAAGAATACAAACTCTATAGTTACTTGATTTATAACAATAGCATCACTGCAATTCATTATGGAAAAGAATGGTCTTCTCACTGAATGGTGGTAGGCCAAGAAACTATCAGTATGGAAATATAAACTGTGACCCTTACTTAATACCACATGTACAAATTACTTCTTGATGAATAGTAGATTTACCTGTGCAAAGAAAAGCAATATGGTTGCCAAAAGAGAGAAAGAATTTGCTACAAGAGTGTAGCTGGCTAATAGCCTCCAGTTACCACACCTTAAGGATTCACTGTAGTGTACATGCCAATGCCAACAACTGAGAACAGCACAGACACTAGAACTGGCCAGTTTCTGCTCCAATTAGCACTCTCAAAAGGAAATATTTGCTTGGCACTCCTTATTAGCATAATGGACACTATCTTAGGCTGTGTCAAGTCTGAGGATCTTCCTAGGAAATTTCCTTCTTTCTTTTTCTCTCTTTCACAAAAATTAGACCTGAAGGTATAAAGGCTCTTCTTGTCTACTCCTTCTGGTTCTACTCTTTATCCTTTTTATAGGTTTTTCCTTCATTAAATCTTTTCCATTTCTAATTTCATTTTGGAGTTTGTCTCCCAAAAGATTTGACATAATACCACTTTGAAAACCTTAATGAATTAAGGATCTAGATATTGAGTATTAATAACTACAAAGATGATATACAGAGAAAAAACATGAGACATTATGTCATTCAATAAAAAACCAGTACATTATTTCTAGTATTAAGAAAAAAAAATGAAATAAACATATATATACCCCTCATTCCTAGAACACCCACTTCTAGCCGAAATAGGGCAACACAGAGACCAGATTTATCTTACTGCCCAAACCAATCAAAAAACCTGACAAAATATACAAAACAACATTTTTCATTGGGCACCTGGCAGCATAGGATGATGATCACTGAAAGTGGGGAACCAAATGTGAGCCCTACAATTGTCACAGCTGCCAGAGGAGAGTTTTCAGGGCACAAGGTAGGTAAACCCAGGCAGAACTCAATAATCTTTCTGAGTACAGCTGAGAGCCCAAGAAAGCCAAGGTTTCTAGAGTTTGCTGAGCAGAGTAATGGGACAAAGCTGCATAGAAAGAAAGCTCCAGAGATCTGCAAAGAGTCCCTTTAAGTCAAGGGCTCAGTGATGATCAGTACATGTACATGAAGAAACCACTCAAAGAAAAGAATACAAAATAAACAACAAAAATCATTTTTGTACCTAACAGTGTGAAGAATAATCATTTACCCACCAGTCAGAGGGGAAAGCCTTATAATTCAAGGGTCAAACAGGAAGAATATTCAGAAGGATATTGCCTGAAGTGGGCAAAATTAAGCCTGCACTAGAACTGCTCTCGGATCACCTTTTAAGCCCTAAAATCAAGTTTGAAAAGAATCAAATTCTGAACAACACTGTTCCAAAACAAAGTTCAGGATTACTTCTAGAAATATAAAAACATCTAATATCCAAAGGTACTCAATAAAAAAACAACCAGGCAGGCAAAGAAGCAAGAATATATAACCATAATTAGGAGAAAAATTTAATAAAATCTTACCCATAACTGACTTTCCATTAAAACAGCTTATCCTAACTATATTGCATATTTTCAAGAAGCTAGAAAAATGACTAAATACATTAAGTAGATACATGAAAGATATAAATAAAAGACTCAAATTGAACTTCTAGAGACAAAATTGACATTGTTTCATATGAAAAATACATGGGATGAAATCAGTGACATATTAAACACTGCAGATGATGATTATTAATGAATTTGAAGACATAACAATAACAATTATAACCAATTATCCAAAGATAAACAGAGAACAACAAAACCAGAGGATCTCAGAGCTATGGTATAACTTCAAGCAACTTCAAATATTCAAGACACTGAATATTTGTGTAACTGAGGTCATAGAAAGAGAAGAGAAAGAGGGAGACACAAAATACCTAAGAACTAATGGCTGAAAAGTTTGTGATTTGATGAAAACTGTAAACTTACAGACCCAAAAAAGCTTAACAACCTAAAAGAGATGTTTAAAAAACTATTTCAAAGCATAATATAATTAAATTACTCAAAATGAGTGATAAAGAGAAAATCTGAAAATCATTTAAAGTTTTAGCTCACACATACAAATATACATACACACAAAACAAGAATGATAGCAGACTTCTCAAACAGTATAAAAAGCAACAGTGCAGTATCATTTAAGTGTTCAAAGAAAAAAAGTATTAACTCAGAATCCTATAGCTAATAAAAATATATTTTAAAAATGAAATAATAATAATTTTCAGGCATAAAAAAGATTTTAAAAATTCATTCCCAGTGCACCTACATTATAATAATGTTAAAGGAAATCCTTTAGGTAGAAGGAAAATATCAAATGGAAATCTAAATATACACGAAAGGATGAAACACCAGAAACAACATGGGTAGATTTAAAGACTTTTGTTTTAAATCTTTTTAGAATACAATTTAAAAGGACTCCAAATTGGAAAGGGATATGTAAAACTAATTCTATTCCCAGATAGACATGATTTTACATATATGGAAAAGTGTGATGAATTTACAGAGAAATAAATTAGTGAAGTCTGAAGGTGCAGCTCACTGGTAGAGCACTCTGCCTAGCATGTACAAGGCCCTGGGTTTGATTCCCAGAACTTAAAAGAAGGAAGAAGGAGGGAGGAAGGGAGGGAGAGAGACAGGGAGGGAGGAAATAAATTTATTTACCGAGGCTGCAGGATACTACATTGATTTATAAAAATGAGCTGTATTTCTATGCACTAACAGTCAACAACATGAAGATGAAATTAAGAAAACAATTCCATTCGTAATAGCATCAAAAATTATAAAATATTTGATGGTTCTATAATTTCTAAGGAAACACATGGGATACAGTATAGCCAAAACAATCTTCAAAACGGGGAACAAAGTTGGAGGACTTTCCAATTCTGAAATTCACTAGCAATATGGAATAATTAAAACAGTGTAGTACCAACATAAAAACAAAACTATAGCTGGGCATGGTGAGACATACCTATAATCTCAGCACTCAGGAGGCTGAGACAGGAGAAACAAGGCCAGACTGGGTTATATAGAGTTCCAGGCCAGCCTGGGCTATATATTAAGACCCTGTTTCAAAACAAATCAAAGAAATAAAAAATAAATAGAGAATACAAACCCTATTAAACCCATATAAACTCTCACATTTATGATCATCAGCTTTTTGACAGGGTGCCAAGAAAAAAGGAGAAACAATAGTCTTTTCAACACATGGCCTGAGACACCTGGATATATACAGACAAATAAATGAAGCTGGGTCACTACCTCACATTATATACCAAGATTAAATCAAAATGGAACAAAGACTAAACAAATGTAAGACTCAATGGTATAAAATTCTTAAAAGAAAATACAGGCATAAATTTTGGTGACCTTAGATTAGGCAATGATTTCTTAGCAAAGGAAACAAAAGAAAGCAATAGATGAATTGCACTTTATCCTTTTGGGTTTCAAAGAACACCTAAAAGAAAATGAAAAAACAATATACAGAATGGTATTATTGGTAAATATTACCAAATCATATTACTGATAAGGAACTCAGAGTTGGAATCTAGAAAGAACACTTATAAACTCAACAAAAAAAGACAAATAATTCAATTGAATAGGATCTGATGAGATGCCTCTCTGAAAAAACACACAAATGGCCAAGAAGCACATTAAATGATGCTCATCAACATTAGTCATTAGGGATATGCAAACCAAGACACAAAGAACTACCACTTCATACCCAGTATGATGGCTACCACCAAAAAGATGGACATTAAGTGTTGGCAACAATGTGGATGGAGAATTGGAAACTTCTAACATTGATGATAGGAATGCAAAATGGTATAGTCACTACAGGAAAGTTTGGCATTTTGACAAAAGGTTAAATATATAATTACTACATGATTCAGTAATTCTAACTATATTCCCAAGAGAACCGAAACATGTGCATATGATGCAGACTTTAGACCTAAAACAAATGCAGTAATATTATTGGACATGGGTCACACGCTAAGGGGAGAACACATACAGGAGGAACAGGGAAAGGTAGGAAACCCAAAACTTGAAAGTGTTTGATATGCCCACTGTAGAGGAGTTAATATAGTAGCCTTAAAACAACAGAGATCACTATAGGAAGGTGACTGGGAAGTATGAAGAGGTCTGGTAGAGATGAATCAGTTTGGGTTGTAATATACTTGTGCATGGAAGCAATGCTAGGAATCTCTCTATATAGTTATCCTTATGTCAAACTAGCAAAAACGCTGTGTCTTTCTTATTATTGCCTATGTCTTCTCTTCAACAAAATTGAAGAGGGCAGCAGGTACTACCTGGAAGCGAGGTGGGAAGAAGGGACAGGGAGGAAGCTGGGGAGGGAGGGGACGGATAGCAGGAGGGAGAAATGGCCCAAACAATGTATGCACATATGAATAAATTTTTAAAATAAGTGCTATACTGTTAAAATTAAACAAGAAACAATATATAAGAAAAAATGTGTATATGAACGTTTACGGGAGCATTATCTATAATAGCTAAAAAGTAGAACAATACAAATGTTTATGAACTGATGAATAAACAAAATGTGAATTCAGCCATAAAAAGAAATTAAGTAATGATACATGATACAATATAGATGAACCCTGAAATTACAGTAATAGCTAAATTCTGTAGACTACTAACAATGATTATCAGTAACGAAATAGATATTAGAAGTGTCTTAGAGAATATAAATTAGGGATTGTGAATACTTTATATAGAGTTTGTCAGTAAATGTTTTGGCATGTGGGCACACAGTCTCTGTAGCAACTCTCCTATTATAATACAAAAGCAGCCATAGACAATACCTAAAAGAATGATCATAACCAGGTTCCAGAAAACCTTTATGTAAGTAAATAGGCAGCAGATAGATTTGGCCCACAAATCACAGATCCAAACCCTGACTTCAACTCTAGTTGATGAGAGAAAATATAACAAAAATTAAGTAAAATACATAGGCCAGAAGAGACATATGCCCAAAGAATGTGCAGATGCTGTTATGAAGACAAAGCTGAGAGAGACATCAGTGACTGGGCTATAAAAAGCAAGGATCTTTATGACATTATTTTCCAAGTGAAATCATTAACAACAACAATAATAATTATTCAGGCTAATTTTCTTTGGCAAATCATCATTCTAATATAAAAGCTCATCCATCAATAAATTCGTAAGAACAAAAATCATAAAGGATACCATTTACAATTTTAAAAACTGTAAATTTTAATTTACTAATGCCACACAGATCAAAATATATATTCTTGAGACATTAAGATAAAACATTTTCTTAGCAAAGGCTTCATGCATGTGTAGATACTCTGGAACAAAACTCTTGAATAATTTAGATATTTTATATTCATACTCAGATTTATCAAAGGATCATAGGAGTTTCTATATCTTCTGAGAATGCTTATAGATTACCTAATATTCTTTTAAAGGCTCTTTTGCCCTTATTGGTCAATTCTTATATAAACCAATTAATAAGAGAAAAATTTAAAAAATCACTAACCTGTTCACCTAATGAATCTCCTGCACCTCTTAAAGACTCCATAGAGATTGAAGCATCCATTGCCTTAGAAGTCTTAACTTTAACATCAGCTTTTGGACTTGTCGACTTATGTCTTGATCTGATAGTTCCTTCTGTAGAAATCCCTAGGAATTTTCATTAAACAATATGTAAAAATTCTATCTTCTCATCCTCTTAAACCTTCCTCCCCTTCAACCTCTTTCTTGATATACTCTACAGGACCTATGGAAAAATTTTCTTATTTTATAAACTTTTAGAGCTCTTTTAATACATAATGAATGAAATGTTATGTTTAAAATAAATAATAATTCAACTGAAAAAAACTTAAAGGTACATTTTTCCAACAAGACAATCATAAATCACATTAAAAGAAATAAATTAAAACATAACACAGATAACTTGGGGAAACCAGATGCTTTTCACCTAATTAGGGTGTCATTAATGATTCCGTTTTACTACGAATCTAATAATAACCAGTAAACTTTAAAAAGTCTCTTACCTATACCTGTATCAAGTCTTCATGCTTTTCCTGAGGAACGTTAAATTTAGGCTCTTATTCATTTAAAAATGTTTAGAAAGAACTTCCTGTCCCCAAATAGATGAAGTTTTCTGTAAGTTCACTAAAAGCTGACTTGCCCAGCCATTACCTAAGATGAGCCAGTATTTCGAACCTTAAGAGGGGCTGGTCAAATTTGCATCTGTGAATTTGTTTTGAAAACACAATTTTATTTTCTGATAGATGATTCTGTGTCTAGTTATACCTGAAAAAGCTGCCCTAATTTTATTTATTCCTAATCCTTAAGAAGCAAAGGAAACTTCCCAAATTTTAACATAGAAAGTCATACCTGGAACATATACTACTGATTGTTCTTCATCAGAAACTATGGAAAACGTGAAGGAAAAAAAAACTGTATATTTAATCAATATCCAAATCCTGCTTCTATTCTGCATGTCTGTTATAATTCCTCATCTCTTTTGACCTGGGAATTTATAACTTACTTTTAAAAACAAAACAAGAAAGCAAAGCAATTGAAATAAATGTACCAAATATTCTGCAAAAGTTTATCTTTAGATAATCATAACTATGTATTTCATAAAAAAATGTGGAAAGCACTGATCCATGAAACTTGTATTTACTCCTATTCTCAAGTAGCTCACCCTAAAATATACATTCTATTAGGTTACTTTCCTTTTCTAAACAAGGAGTTAAGAATTACAGGTTGCCCATTACTTAGGAACTATTGGTTATTTTAGGCATGAAGAATAAATAATTTCATGTTGGGCTTTAGCTTTGAAGAACAAACACTGTTTGGGGGCAAGTCAATCATGCATACGCAAAGGCAATTTATTCTTCTACCGTACACTCATGAAATGTTCCAAGAAGCCCTATTATTGAAACAGTGGAAGAATATTTAAGACTAAACAAAGAACTATTTTGAGTTTAAATCAGAGAAATTTAGAAATGCTAGGATCATAACATTGCTACAGAAAGAAAACCAACATAATAAGAAACAAAATCCCTTTAGAAACAAAATCATATTCAGAACTGTATCTAAATCCAGATATGTACACAATTTGGTAACCTGTTATACTTCTAGGCAAGAAGCATCTAAACAAGTTTCTTTCCAAATGAACTAGAAAATTCTCAAGTTTTGTGTTCTTCTTTTATGAAATGTTTTCCAAGTTTTCTAGACAAAGCAATTATTAACTATAGCTTTCTGGAAAAAAAAAGGGTGGATTTAATAGGATGTTTAAAAAGTCATAGCTGGGGGCTGGGCTCAGGTCTGTAATACTACAGCTACTTCAGAGGTTGAAATCAGGAGGATCATGGTTTAAGGCCAGCCCAGACAAAAAGTTAGTGATACTCCATCTCAACCAGTAGCTGGACCTGGTGGTATGTACCCATCATCCCAAGCTATATGAAAGGCCAAGATGTAGAGGGTCATAGTTTCAGGACAGCCCAGGCAAAACAGTGTGTGAGACCCCATCTCAACTGAAAAAAGCTGGGTGTGGCCATGTGCACCTGTCACCTCAAAGGCAGCAGGAAGCTTAAAATAGGAGGACTGCTGTCCAGTCTGTCCTGGGTAAAAAGAGAGACCCATCTCCAAAATAACCAAAACTAAAAGGGCTAAAAAGGTTTGGCTCAAGTGGTAGAGTATCTGCGTTGCAAGTGTGAAGCCCTGAGTTCAAACTCCAGTACTGCCAAAAAAAAAAAAAAAAAAGTCCTACTTTAGCCCAGAAGCAACTCTAGTAATGGTGTCTTTCCAGGAACAGACTGGAAATGCCTAGAATCCTGTAAAATAGCAAGCTATTTAGCTGGTGCTCACTGTCCGAGATGCCATGGTTTCTCATATATCTTTGTAGCAGCAAAGACACTATCTCAGCTTTAAGATCTTGCCTAATAAAAAGTGCCCCTTAAATTTTCAGTTCCCTCAAACATCAGAGATGGAGCTTTAAAAGTTTTAGGAGACACGCAGGCAAATAAACAAAAAAAATTAGAACCACCACTCTAAGGAAACTGAAAGCAATTAATATAGGAACAGAGAGAGTATTTCCAAATTCACCAACACCCAATCTAAAAATAGCCTTATGAAATGAAAGTGTGTGGGCTCCATGACAACAAAAACGGTTTCTTTTTTAAATATTCCTTAGGATTAGCATAGGGCCTTGCATACACAGGAGGCACTCTATAAATGTTTATCTGCAGTTCAAAATGTACTTGAAAAAAAGAACAGGAGGGGACCCCAAGACCTTGGTGTAAGAACATGCTCCATTCATACGGCAGTACTTTTAATTGTAAGATAGAACAAATGAAGACTCTCAGAATATTCCTCAAGACTGACCTATGGTAAGACTAATGTAATGTTTGTTCACAAAGGAGCCTGCTCACACTCAACAGCAGGAAGAGACCAGTTTCACTGAGTGGAGACGCCAGACCCCACTCAGCTTCACCTTGATTTGAAACTCAATCAAGTATCTCACTGTTCTCTCCTCAAACCTGACACAATTTCTCCCATCCTTACTCTCTAGGGATTGAACCTAGGGCATTGGGCATACTCTACCACTGAGCTACATGCCCAGCTCCTATTTCTTTAAGAAAAACAAACTGTGAGCCAGGCACTGGTGGTGGCTCCTGGCTCATGCCTGCAATCCTAGCTACTCAAGAGGCAGAGATCAGGAGGATCATGGTTTGGAGCCAGCCTGGGCAAATAGTTCATGAGACCCTATCTCGAAAAAACCCATCACAAAAAGGGGCTGGTAGAGTGGCTCATGGTGTAGGTCCTGAGTACAAATCCCAATAATGCAAAAAAAAAGAAAAAGGAAACCAAACTGTGAAGACTGCCCCAGGCTTCTACCTGCATATCTAACCACCTTTCCTGTATCTACGCCTAGACTCTACTTTCCCTTTTTGCCACAGATGAACTATTCATGCTTCTATCTAAAGCCAATACAGTCTTTATACACAAAAAAGGAAATTACATTATTTTTTAGCCAAAGAATTCCTCCTGCTACTCTCCCCTGTCCTCCTGAATCAATCATTTTTCCTATTAAGCTTTTTCCACTAGCACCCAAACATATAATAATTTATTTTTTCCCCAAAAAAGGAAACTCTCTTGACCTTACATTCCCATACAATCATATGCTGCTTTTCCTCCCCTTTACAGCAAAAATTTTCAAGAGACATTGGCTGACTCCAGTTCCTCTCCTCTGAGACTTGAACCTTACTTGGATTTTATCAACACAGTAAAACTACTTTTAAGAAAGTTTTAATGTCCTGTTTTGTTAAATCCATCAATTAAGTCTTAGGCTTCTCTGTACTTGTTCTATCAATAGCATTTGACATAGATGGCCATTCTCCTTAAAACACCTTTTTTTGCTTAGCTTCAAAGACACCACATACTCCTAATTTCCCCACAGGTTTTCTTACAATTCCTACTCAGTCTCCTTAGACTCCTTCTAGCCTACAAACTTTGGAATGCCCAGTGCCTTTTCCTTAGAGCTTTCTCTTCTCTTTAAGCACCATCAATAAGCTTATTTCTGTCAAGTTCATCTTTAGCAGGAGCCTATCCCCTAAGTCTGACACTTAGATACATAAAAGTTTTCTCAAGGACCAGGCACTGAAGATTACTGGTGGTTCACCCAACCTGTAATCCCAGTTACCTGGGAGGCAGAGATAGGAGGACTGCAGTTCAATGCCAGCCTGGACAAAAAGTTAGAGAGGCCCTATATCAAAGAACAAGTCAGGTGTTCACAGCTATAATCCTAGCTACACAGGAGGCAGTAGGAGAAACTAGTCAGAGGCTGTCCTGGGGGAAAATCGATAACCTACCTGAAAAACAACTAAAGCAAAAATGGCTAGGGCATGGCTCATGTGGTAGAGTACCTATCTAACAAGCATGAAGCCTTGAATTCAAATCCCAGTACCGCCAAAAGAAACAAAACCAAAACCAAAAAACCTTCAAGTTCACACTGTCCAAAACTGAAGTCCAAACACTTCATCTCAAAAGCTGCTACTCCCATAGCCTTCTCTATCACACTAAATGGCCATCCTATCCTTCTGTTTCTCCCTATACCTCACATTCAGAAGATTCTGTTGGCCCAGCCTTCAGAATGTATCCGGAGTCCAACCACTTCTCACTACACTATCACTTCTATGCAAGTCACCTTTTCCTCTCACCAGAATCACTGTCATTTCTTCATAACTGCTCTCTCTTATTTCTATGCAGAACTCTACAACAGCCTATTTTCCACACAGTAGATGGAAGGAACATTTTAAAATTTGTCATTCCTCTTTCAGATTAAAACCCAAGTATTTACAAGGGCCTATGATGCTCAGAGATCTGATCCCTCCACCCTGCTCCCCATACTCCTTCCAGCCTTCCTTGAATTTGTTAATGAGCTGCCAAGCCCCTGCCTCAGGGCTTTTGCATTTATGATTTCTTCTATTCAGGCAGCTCTTTCCCAGTATCTTCCCAGCCCACTTCCATAGCACTTACTTAGGTCATATGTCACCTTCTGAAGACTTCACTTCCTAATCATGTACTTAAAAGTACTTTTGCAGTACTTAAAACTGCAAAACTCTCTCTTCCTGTAACCCATTTACCTCCCCCTACCACTTAACACTTTCCTGCTTTATTTTTCTCCATAGCACCTATACTTATAAACATACAATGTATTTTATTTATTTCTGACGTTATCTCACTAAAATGTATGCACCAAGAGGATGATGACTTTCATCTTTTATGTTCAAGTTTTCATCTCCCAGACATAAAATACCTGGTTTACAGTAAGCCATCTATGAAAGAATAAAACTGATAGTTATTTAATTTTATGAGGCAGGGCTCAAAATTGTTGAGTTTTTTTTCTCCATCTCATTCAAAATATGAGAGCAAAATCTATTCCAGTTATCCATGCCAAATTCCTTTTCAAGTAGGAAAACACCTCTAAATAAACTGTCTTTAACAACATTTTTAAAAATAAGAAAATATTTGAAACTGCTTCCATCTAACTTATCCTTTCAAATAATACATAATCTATCTTCAGCTCATTATCTTAAAAACCCAAACATTTACTTCCCAGTAACTGTATATTTCATGGAGACGTCAAAGAGACATTTATGATATACAGCAAGTATACCTTATACCTACTATTTGGTTAAATGTGCCACCTTATTCCTACTCTGATTTCTTTAGAAGCATTCAGTAAGACTACATATAGCAAGTCACAAGTATCTTTAATGCTAATACCAATCTATCTAAAAACGCAGAATTAAAGTAGTAATTAGAAACCCAGGAGAAGGTAGAGAGGAAAAGCATCTGTGTTCTGAAGCTCTAGGATTTGAGGCAAAGAAGCTGAGTACTGGCTGCTTTACCCTTTTGAGTTAGAATTACTTGCCAGCAATACATGTATAACTATTATTGACCACAGAGACTTTGATGTAGCAAATTACTTTTACACCAACATAAAGTCCTTGCCTATTTTATTTGAAAATTCAGTGACAGAGATCATAGCTACTGCAATGTTTTGACCAGGTTGCTTTCAGTTCATATTTGTTATCATTACTACTATTGTTAATGATAACCACCTTCAGTTGCACTTAAACAATCAAATTTAGATACTGTAGAAATCCAACTACTTTTGACAAGAACTATAGTGAAGGAGGAAACCAATTTACAAGTTAAAGAGCATTATTTTTTTCTAGAAGATTTAACCCGTAAAATGACAATATGGCAAGCTCCTCTTTTATATATTGGTGCTAAGACATACCATGTGCAAATCAGCCTTACTGAATCATACTGTGCACAACTTACAAAGGCAACAGCTTTAAAAACAGGTGACAATCAGTCACAGGTGATCTGCCCTGTCATGATGGAAACGTCTAGGGCTGAGAAATCTCTCAACCACATTTTTGTAATATTTTAGGTGAAGCACTGGAAATTTTTTTTCAGTACTGTAGGTGCATACTATTTTTTTTTTCCCTATTGAAAATGCTACTATAAAGACTCTAGGATGTTCTGGGAACTCAATGTGCCAGAAAAGAAATCAAGATCCAATGGCACAGGACTAAACCAAATGACTCATAACTATCATTATGCTTTTCAGCAAATATTTAGTAACAAAGTTACATTTAATACTGCTTTTATGCCTATAGAGATTTAAAATGAAAATATGCGAGGCTAGATATTAACTGGTCATTAGACGGAACAAGGTGAGGAAAAGGGTGTTACCAGTAACAATTTCTTTCCTATATCTGAATTTCCATAGAATGTAATTACCAACATATTTCCCCTCATGATTTCAATTTCTCACTATCAAAGGGCAGATGAGTATTTTACATTAAATTTTCAGAGTAAGAGAATGTAAGAGCTAAGGAGTATGAATTCTATATAAAAGAGAGTAATGTGACTACATGAATAAGGGAGTACAGGTCTGCTAAAACCATAAGTATAGGTTTCTCTACACACTTGTTAATTAACTTATTCAATATCACTGCAATAGATTGTCATCCCCCATTTGCTCTGTATCAGAACGCCATTAATTGTTGTAAGCTAATAACCTTTAAGAGTCTCCTCTATCTCAGAATCCTGTCAATGCAGAGACAGTGTTTCACACAGACTCATTCCAACTTCCTGACTTTCTAATTCAGCCCAGTTGTCCTCAATGCACATAATTCTCTCTCATCCCTAGTGACAGGTAAAGGAAAAAAATGTTTAATTTGCACAGTACACTAGTGCACTTTCATCCACCATGTACATGATTTCATTTTGCTTCTCACCAATGTATCAGACAAGTGTTTAGTAAGACATGTTTAGTAAGTGTATAACACCAAACACCCAGCAGCACAGAATGCAGAAACATCCTTTCCAGGAACTCAAAAAGGGAAACTGGAAAGTTTGTAAATTTCCCTGGGAGCTAAGTAGAATGTCCAAAGGGGTAGTCTGCCAAACGTAACAGTCATGCCTCAAACAATGCCATCCCCAATCCTAAGCAAACCAACAAAAAGACTCCATTCTTGCAGGCAAACAATAATACTGATTGCATTCCTTCTTCCAAGCAATGCCCCTCTAGTGAACAAGAAGTGCGTTACCAAGACGAACCATTAGGGTACAATCTACCTAATCCAGGGAAAGAAGCACAAACATCTCATCACAGGTACCTGAACAGGGAATATGGGCTAGAAAGCTTCCCAGCTTCTCAACCCCAAAACTTCAATTTCTACCAGTGGTGACCCACAATCTACACGTAAGGCAATACTCTCAGGCACAATAAGTGACATCTTACTCCCTTAACCAGGGAACGCATCCCACCGCAACCAAGTCCTCCACCTCTCCTAAAGACCCAGCACGAAAATACCAGCCATCATTGACAGAGCCTTCCAAGTCCGACAAGGTCCTGACTAGGGATAATTCTAAACCCAGACAAAAAGGCTTCCTGTCCACCCAACACCCACTCTTCCTCAACCACAAGCTTACTCCGTACACGAGTCGACCTGGGATCACCGCGGAAGGGTCAGTAGGGGACGGTCCCGACCCTAGGTCACCGCAACAAGAGGGTTGAGACCCAGGATGGCAGAATCCCCACCCCTAGAAATGACACTAAAGACCCACGCAAGAGGAAAGCCCAGGACCTAGATGACGCGGAGCAGCACGTCCCTGTGCCCGGAGTCAGCACGGTGCTTCTCCCGTCCTCCCAGAATCTCACGCGACCGCCCGCCCCGCGTCGCCCCCGGGGAGGGCGCCGGCGCCCCCTGCCAGCTGGGCGAAGGATACTGTCGCGGCTCCAGAACGCGGCGGCGCCCGGGCGGGAGGGGCCCGCCACGTCCGCCATCTTGAAACAACCGCCACTCGGGGCGTCGTGCCGGGGCCGCCACGCCCCGGCCCCCAGGCTCTGTCCCCATTGGCCGCACGGCGCAGAGGCCCGCCCCCGCTTGCGCGGCCGGCTGCGGCGGGGCGAGAGGGTCCGGGCGGGGACGCGGCGGGATCTGGGAGGTGTGGCTTGGGGCAGAGGCTCAGGCCGCGGGAACGAGCGTCCGACCGAGCTGCTGCTGCCGGACCAGCCCGGGCACCACATCTCCACCCCGCCGTGCTCTCAGGCACGGAGAACTACAGCTCCCGGCATGCCGTGAACCCGACGGCCGAGGCGCTGAGGCGGGGCCCAGCCCTCCGCCCGTCCGCCCGGCCTTCCACAAGGGCCGCCGCGGCGCGCGGAACGGGGACGCGAGCCATGGAGGAGACGCCGCCCCCGCTAGTGAGTAGCAGCAAGCCGCACCTGGAGAAGCTGACCCTGGGCATCACCCGCATCCTAGGTGAGTTGGGGCGGGGATCCGGGGCGTGGGAGTGGAAGGAAAGGGGATGGAGAGGTGCAGGCTGGCGCTGTCGCATGGACACTGGACCCCGTATACGAGTGGGCATCGCTGCTATGGTTGAGGAGGAAAGAAGGGGAGCAGGGTGCGAGGCTAGACCCGGGGAAGGATTACTGAGAGCATCCGTTCGGGGGCCCGAAGGTTCCCCACGCCCACCCACTGCACCCCCACCCTGGGGTTAGGAAGGACCAGTGGAGACATGTAAAGGGCCTGCAGATGGGAAGTAGGGGCTCTTATTTTCAGCCAAGGCAGTGTCCTTGAAACCCAAGCCCTTTTCGGGTAGCTAAGTTAGCTGGGGCCGACCAACCTCCCGGGGCAACCACTACCATGCACCTGCGCAAGCACCTGAAGTCAGCTCGCACCTCACAACACCATGACTTAATTTTTATTTTATCCAACATGTTTTTCGCAACCACCACCGTATTCTGCACTGAGGCTACAAAAATGAAACAGAGTTTAACGGAAAAAAAAAAAAAAAAAAAGCACCCTAAGTCTCTTAGCAGCATGGAAAGAGAGGTCAGTCAGTAGTCAGTCATTGCTCAGAGGTAGCACAGAAAAGATGACTGGCCTTTCTTTCTGGGAAGTAAAGGAACGTGACCCAGAGGAAATGATGCTAGATTTTCAAAGGTAAATAAGAGTTAAGTAGAAAACCAAGAAGGAGAAAAGCTGTCTAGGAAGACTGAAAAGCATACTTTAATGCCTTCCCATCACAGTGGTAACAAAATCCACATTTATCTACCATGACCCACAAGACCTTCCTTGATCTGCTCTCATCTTTCTGTTTTCACTGTTTTGGCCACAGTGGCCATTTTGCTATTAAGTAACCAAAAACACAGTAAATGCATTCCTGCTTCAAGTTGATACAAGAAAGAGTAGGAAATACTCTGGAGTTAGTAGGTATAGGTAAGAACTTTCTCAAAGAAACCCCAGCAGCACAGCAACTAAAAGATAGCATCGATAAATGGGACCTCATAAAACTAAAAAGCTTCTGTTCATCAAAAGAAATGGTCTCTAAACTGAAGAGAACACTCACAAAGTGGGAGAAGATATTTGCCAACTATACATCAGACAAAGGACTGATAAGCAGAATATATAGGGAACTTAAAAAACTAAATTCTCCCAAAACTAATGAACCAGTAAAGAAATGGGCACGTGAACTAAACAGAACTTTCTCAAAAGAAGAAATTCAAATGGCCAGAAAAACACATGAAAAAATGCTCACCATCTCTAGCAATAAAGGAAATGCAAATTAAAACCACGCTAAGATTCCACCTCACCCCTGTTAGAATAGCCATCATCAGCAACACCACCAACAACAGGTGTTGGCGAGGATGCGGGGAAAAAGGAACCCTCTTACACTGTTGGTGGGAACGTAGACTAGTACAACCACTCTGGAAAACAATTTGGAGGCTACTTAAAAAACTAGACATGGATCTACCATTTGATCCAGTAATACCACTCTTGGGGATATACCCAAAAGACTGTGACACAGGTTACTCCAGAGGCACCTGCACACCCATGTTTATTGCGGCACTATTCACAATAGCCAAGTTATGGAAACAGCCAAGATGCCCCAGCACTGACGAATGGATTAAGAAAATATGGTATCTATACACAATGAAATTCTATGCAGCCATGAAGAAGAACAAAATGTTATCATTCGCTGGTAAATGGATGGAATTGGAGAACATCATTCTGAGTGAGGTTAGCCTGGCTCAAAAAACCAAAAATCGTATGTTCTCCCTCATATGTGGACATTAGATCAAGGGCAAACACAACAAGGGGATTGGACTTTGAGCACATGATAAAAGCGAGAGCACACAAGGGAGGGGTGAGGATAGGTAAGACACCTAAAAAACTAGCTAGCATTTGTTGCCCTTAACGCAGAGAAACTAAAGCAGATACCTTAAAGCAACTGAGGCCAATAGGAAAAGGGGAACAGTTACTAGAGAAAAGGTTAGATCAAAAAGAATTAACCTAGAAGGTAACACCCACGCACAGGAAATCAATGTGAGTCAATGCCCTGTATAGTTATCCTTATCTCAACCAGCAAAACCCCTTGTTCCTTCCTATTATTGCTTATACTCTTTCTACAACAAAATTAGAAATAAGGGCAAAATAGTTTCTGCTGGGTATTGGAGGGGGGGAGAGGGAAGGGGCGGGATTGGTGGTAAGGGAGGGGGTGGGGGCAGGGGGGAGAAATGAACCAAGCCTTGTACGCACATATGAATAATAAAAGAAAAATGAAAAAAAAAACCCAACCAAAAAAAAAAATGAAATTAAGACAAGTTGCATTCACAATAGTATCTAAAGGAATGAAATAAAAATTAGATAACAGAAGTTCATGACTTGTGCATTGTAAACAACAAAGGACTTGAAAGATACTAAAGAGGACTAAAGTAAATGAGAAGTCATCCCATGTGTATGGATGGAAGAGTTAATATTGTTAAAATACAATACTATCCAAATTGTTTTTCAAATCAACTGTCTACAATTAAGTCTAAACTCAAACCAATCTAATCCTAAAATTAATATAAATGCAAGTTCCAGAATAGCCAAAACATTTTGGAAAAGAAGGTAAACATTCCTTTCACTCAGACTTCCCGATTTCAAAATTCACTACGTTTGGAATTATAAAAAAGTTCAGGGGATTAATAGTGGTGATGGTTGCACAGCAATGTAAATATGTAATGTCACTCACCTGTCCATTTACAAATAGCTAGAATAATGAATTTTATATGTATTTTAGTATAATTTATTTGAAAGCTACAATAGTTTAGAGGGGTACTGGCATAAAATATAGATTATTAGAATATGATTGAGATTCCAAAAATTATCACATTTAAGGGCCATTGATTTTTTTATAAGGATGTCAAAACAACTCAGTGGGGAGAAAAAATATCAACAGATGGTCCTGTTACAACTGGATATCCACATCTAAAAGAATGAAATTGGACCCTCCTTCAAATCATGTGTAAAATTTGACTACAAATTGATCTTAGACCTGAATGTAAGAGCTATAAAACTTTTAGAAGAAAACAGGCCTTATGTTAGTTTTTAAGTGACCTTCAATTAAGCAATACATTCCAGAGTTCATCAAAATTAAAAATGTGCATTTATAAATACCATCAAGAAAGTGACAGACACCCATAAAATGGAGAATATTTATAAATCATATATATGAAAAGGAACTCTACATAGGATATTCTTCCAACTCAACAATAAATGATAAATAATCCAATTTAAAAGGATATCAGTTGACATTTCTTCAAAGAAGACTTACAAGTGGCACATAAGTAGATGTAAAGATAGTAATTATAAGTCATTAAGGAAAAAGACCAAAACCACAATGAGATACCACTCACATTCACCAGAATGGGCATAATTATAAAGACACTCATAATAAATGTTCGTTAGGATGTGGAGAAACTGAAACCCTTAATGATTGATGGTAGGAATGTAAAATAGCACAGCAACTTTGGAAAAAGTTTGACCTTTCCTCTAAATATTAAACAGTTTTATCATATGACCAGCAATTCCACTGGAGAAAAATAAAAACATTTACACACAAACACTTTTACATAATTATTCTGAGCAGCATTTTTCATAAGTCAAAAGTGGATCTTTGGGATATACCCAAAAGACTGTGACACGGGTTACTCCAGAGACAACTGCACACCCATGTTTATTGCAGCACTATTCACAATAGCCAAGTTATGGAAACAGCCAAGATGCCCCACTACTAATGAATGCATCAAGAAAATGTGGTATCTATACACAATGGAATTTTATGCAGCCATGAAGAAGAACGAAATGTTATCATTCGCTGGTAAATGGATGGAATTGGAGAATATCATTCTGAGAGAGGTTAGCCTGGCCCAAAAGACCAAAAATTGTATGTTCTCCCTCATATGCGGACATTAGATCAAGGGCAAACACAACAAGAGGATTGGACTTTGAGCACATGATAAAGCGAGAGCACACAAGGGAGGTCTGAGGATAGGTAAGACAACTAAAAAACTAGATAACATTTGTTGCCCTCAATGCAGAGAAACTAAAGCAGATACTTAAAGCAAATGAGGCCAATAGGAGAAGGGGTCCAGGAACTAGAGAAAAGTTTAGATCAAGAAAAATTAACCTAGAATGAAATCAATGCGAGTCAACTCCCTGTATAGCTGTCCTTATCTCAACTAGCAAAAACCCTTGGTCTTTCCTATTATTGCTTATACTCTCTCTTCAACAAAATTAGAGATATGGGCAAAATAGTTTCTGCTGGGTATCGAGGAGTAGGGGGGAGAGGGAGGAAGTGGGGGAAGGGGGAGAAATGACCCAAACATTGTATCACATATGAATAAAAAAAAGTGGAATCAACTGAAATATCCAACAGAAAAGGATGACTAAATGAGATTTGAAGCATGAAAAAGATAGGTTACAATTTTGCTTACTTGAAGATAGGTAGGACCACATGGCAAGAAGGAATGGAAAATAGCCCTAATCAACATCAAATAAGAAAATGAAGACTTCAGGTCTACAACCACAAGGAATTGAATTCTGTCAAAAACAGGAATGAGCTTCAAGATAATTCCAGACTCCAAATGAGAACACAGCTGGCACCTGAGCAACCAGTGCAGCTGGTGTAAGGACACATCATTGATTTCAGCCTCAGCAGACTTCTGAGCTACAGAACTGTGACCTAAAAAAGGTGTTGCTTAAATCTGCAAATCTGTGGTAATTACTCAACAATAGGAATCTAATACATTTCCCCCATATGTTTTAAACAAAAGAGCAAAGGATACATATCTCAAAAAGAAAAAAAATTAGAGTCAAGACAAAACAAGTCTGTCACTAACGATAAATATAAATGGGTGTACATCACCTGATAATTAGAGAAAGACTTAAATCTGACTCAAAAACTTTTTCTGATTCTAAAAGCAAACTAATTT